TTACGCGCTGGCTCTGCCTCCCTCTGTCTTCCATCCATTTCAGCGACAGCAATGCAGGTAAAACCGTTACGAACGGTTTAGTATAAGAGAAAACCGCAAATCAATGCGTGCCTTAAAATCGAACACAGCCTAAAGCACGTGCCTCTCTCTATCGCTGTCGCTCAACTATAGGCAAAGAGAGATAGAAAGAGAGCGAGTAAATGGAAGCGAGCGCAAAAGGGATAATGTGCGTGCCATTCAAATGTCGTTGTCGCTCTCGCTCACTCTCTCAAACTGTTCTTTGTTTTGCTGAATGAAAACGTAGATAGGCAAAAGAGTTAGAGAGAGTGAGTTGTAGCGAGCGTGAAAGGGATATTGTGCGTGCCATTCAAATACTGTTTACCGTTGTCCTCGCTGTCAAGTCTTTGTTATTTCAGAGATCGATGTAAAGTCAACAATTGACAGTTAAGAAAACAGATGACAATAATGATGATTCGCTTGTTGTTGTTGCTCTTTATTGTTGTTTTATGCCTTCTCGATGCCGCGGCACGCGTCCAAAGCGCTTTTGCAGACCAAGTTAAGGGCAGAGCGTTGAACCTGACTCAACGCCTTCACAGCTTCAGAAGCAACTCTCAAAGAAATCTTCCCACAGTGCAACCACAATTGCACTTGACTCTCCCACACGATCGCAACGCCCCCCAAAATACCCCTCCCCATCATATGTGTATTAGAAACAAAAATTTGACATTTGCCTGCACTTAACTGTCACATAAAGTGTTAAATGAAATGAGCAGAAGCAGCCACAAAAACGCGTCGCGTCGCGTCGCGCCGACTGCAGCAACACTTGAGATTGAGTGCGACCCCAATTGAAAACCACCAAGCACCAAGCAGCACCACCACTAACACACACACACACAGAGTCTACTCCACTAACATACCATTTAGAACGCCAAGTATTTATGCTGTCATTACATTTCGGCTCGGTTCGGTTTCGGGTTATACAGCATACCCTAGAAACTAAAGCTAATTAGAAGGGTAGTTTGGTTCTGTTTTAATGTGAGCAGACATCAGTTGCTGAATACATACTCTTAGATCTATAGGCTTTGTCTGCAGGCTAAGCCGACCTGACTACTCAAAAATATATATACATTTTATGTGACCGCCCACGCCTATTGCTGCGCTTCACATAAAACAAATCATACCCTAACACACATTTTTAATGAGTATACACACAAAGGTTTAGTAATTACTTAAATAAAATTATTAACTTATTCAAACTTGAACTAAAATCTCACTACAGGGCATTGCGTGGTCGTGCATGCTCGCCTAGAGCAAGCTGACTTCTTTTTCCTTTTAGTTAAATGCCGCGCTAAAGTTTACTGCTAATTAAAAATTGTAGAAACGAGAAACATGCATGCAATTCAATACCCCGAAATCCAAACGCCCACAATTGAAAATGTTGAGATGAAGATATATATATATACGATATATATACATATATATTATTAATATATATATACATATATAAATGTACATCTATAGGTTCCGCTTGGTACTCGTAATGTGTGAAAAAAAACGCAACCGTTGCGCCCTTATGCTGGGGTCACCTCTTCGAAAAGGATTGAAATTGTTTTTCCCACCGAATTTCGATCGAAGCCCCTGCGAGTGGCATCGATCGTTGGGCTGGCTACAGATGGGGGCAGGGGGTAGTGGTAGGGGTATTGTGAGAGCTGCTCACTTTTAGGTTATCCGTAATTATAAAGTGAAATAAATTGATTGCTTAACGGCAAAGTTAATGACAGCTAGCGTCGGCTTCCTTCCGATGCCATGACGTCAGCGAGCAGAAAACTGTGTTGAAGTACGAGAAGCACTCGCATTATCGCACTTTTATGTGGGACCCGCAGCAGCAGCAGCAGCTGACGACGACGACGACGTTCCGTTTGGCACGGCATGAAACTGCAATAGCAATTGAAATTGCATTGAGCACACATCGATCGACAAATCCAATTTAAATTAAGAAACAAGGCAAAGTGGCTCTGTGGGACTGTGAAGTCATTCTCACGGTGCTCTCGAGTGGCCACTGTAGTGGGCAGTGGGCGTGCCACTGCTCGGCCTGGGAACAAAATATGCATACTAATGCGGGATAACCACCAAGAGAGCTAACTACCGTTAATATATATAGAGCTAGCGGTACTGCATGTATTATCTACATAAGGGTCATTTTAGTGGAATTTACTTTAAGTTAAGACAAAGTTTATGAACAAATATATTATATATGCTTAAATAACTTATACACGATATCAGCCAAAGCGTGATGGGAAGTTTAGTAAGGGAAAAACCTCTTTGAACAAAAGGCATATATGATTCATGGACTCCACTTCATTGAAAGCGTGTTCTTTTTTATAGATAAAACTAAAATATAATTAATTTGTGTGTGTTGCGCATGAAATGATATTAAGTAAGAATCTGTCATATTAAATTAAATAGAATTCAATTTAGCTCGAAAATACATGTAATTCAATATAAAAATATTATACATAATATTATATTATATATACATATATAAAAATATGAAATAATTATTTTTCTTCCATTCGAACTCACCTAAAGCATTATTATTTTATAAGTATAAATAAGTATCATTTTAGACAAAAAGGTAAAGTAAAAATTAAAAAAAAAAAAATTAAAAGATTTTCTGAAAATTAAAATTTCTTCCAGAAGACATTAATTCTTTTTTATTGGTGTTCCTAAATTACTTTTTAAATATATATTTTATTTGTCTTATTATTTCATTTCATTTATAAAAAATTACAATTTTAAATTTTCTAAACTTATACATTGAAATAATATTCCTATTTATTTAAAGAAAAGTATAATAATTTTTAATCTTAATCTTACTCTTATTATTAAATTTATTATATTATTTTCATTTGAATTGTTTAACACTGCTATAAATAAAAAAGATATTTTATTTAATTTACAAAAGGTTTATTCTGCTTTTTATTAGCATTATATTAATTTTTATAAAATTCAATTTTTTTACATATTTTATATTTATACATTTTTTATGTATATTTGATTATTTGTTTATTATGACTTTTTTTATTTGATCTCTTATTATTTTTATTCTTGAACATAAAGAGTTTTATAAGAACTTTTCCAATTGGCTTGTTGCTGCCCCAACCATAAGTCTTGTGCGCTCATAAGCAACGGTAAAAGCCATATTCTCCATTGGCATGCAATGGCCGCCTACAGTTGGCAGTCGGCAGCCAATGGGGCGGCAACAGGTGCAAAGCGACCAATGCCAAATGAGCAGAGCCAACAGCACACCTAGCGCACAACAAACACCTCGCTCATTAGCACACCCACGCGAGCGAACACACACTTACACACACGCACACGTTCAGTGTAGAGCGAGAGCTAATTAACATACAAAGTGAATGCGGCGGGAGAAGCAACACGAAAAAATATATAAAAACCGCTAAACGGCCGTTCGCTTTGCTCACTCTCTTTTTTTACTCGTTCTCGCGCCTCAACGTCAACGTTGACGTCGACGTTGGCGTCAGCGTCGCCGTTCGCTTCAAGTGAGAAAATTATTGAAGCTCCACCTTTTTACACGCACACACACACAAACACTCAGCTGCGGTTGCCAGTGAGAAATGCATATGTTTAACTATATATACATGTGTGTGTGAGTGTGTGCGTGGGGTGGGGTGGGGGTAGGTAGAACACATGTTAACCGCATTAAAAATTAATGTACAAATTGTTTATTATGTTGTTGAGTTTGCTTTTTTCGCCGTCGGGCCCACACGCATGCATATGTATGTGTGTGCGTTTGCATGTGTGTGTTTGTTGAGTTTTGATGACTTTTGACTACGCAATCATTGCAAAGAGCTTCAGGATTTTTTTATATTTTGCTTTGATTTCTTGGGCGGGCTTCAACTTGTTGATTGAGAGTCGAAAACCATTTTTTGCCGTTCCTATTTCTAAAGCATTTCTTTTGAATTTGTTGCCCAAGTGGCGTTGCCGTTGCTGCTGTTGTTGTTATTATTTTTATTGCCCGTTTGCATAGCTGTTGTGCGTGATGGACATTCTCAAGAACTTTTGCTTCTTGTCAACGTCAACAAAATGTCAAATGTGTTGCAATCCCCAAAAGCGAAAACCGAAAAGCGAAACGCGGCTAAGCATATGATATTTTTAAGCTGGAAAGCTGGAACACTAAAAGTTGCACATCAAAAAATAGAAAATGTTAAGTGCAAATGATTTTTGCTTTAATGATAAGTAAAATATGGCATTTTTCTTAGAAATTAAGCTTTTGTATAATCGAAATCAAAGGAATTACAAATTGTAAAGGAAGAACAAACATGTCTAGCAAATCAAGTATTAACACGCATTTCTTTAATCCATTCCATAATGTTAAGTTTAACATTTTCCCCTTACGCCAATATCGTAACGTTAACAGCATACGATAAAGCGCACAGTGCGAGGTCTTAACAGCAACCTTAACAGAGCCCAAGCACTGATTCGCTCTCTCCAATTGGAGAGCGTCGCAACACCAATACTCACTCACACAAACACACACACACACCAGAGCACCGAATGGGGGGCGGAGGTGTATTGTCATATCACCTCGGCAGCGCGCTGCCACTAAGCACACAGACAAAGACACACACTATCAACAAACGGTGCACCGTTACACGTTGTCGTCGTTCTGTTATATGGCCGCTGCTTGTTATTGGTGTATGGGTGACACACACACAAGCACACAGCTACGTTAAACTACCACATAACGAAAGTGTGTTCGACGCTCTCTCACTCAGTTGCTCTCGTGCTCGGCTCTTCGCTCTCGATTTGTGCCGAGCACGAATATGCTGAAGCACCCTTGCACACACATACACACACACACACACGCACGCAGGCAGAGGCAGGCAGAGATGTCGTATCTGATATTGAAGCAGAAGCTGAGGCAGGCCAACGTAGAAAACAGAAATCAACAGAAACCGTTAGTTGTATTCTAGACGTCGCGTCGGCCGCACACGCGCTGCTCCCCCACAGCGCTCAGAAGCCAACGCATTGGAAAAACAATTGTAGAAATCGCCGAGTCGAAAAAGTCAAAAGTATCTCAATCTGAACGCGCAACGCAGTGTGCAACAACCAACATTCGAAATTCAAACACAAAAATTAGTGCCAAAAATAAAAAGCCAACAAAAACAAAAATATGTTTTCAATCGGAATATCTAACAAATCATGAAAAGCCAGCCAGCCCCAATGGCCGCTACACGTGTGTGCTTTAGCAAACGTCTCTAATCGAACCCAGATCCAAAACACTTGACAACAAAAGCCTCCAATTGAACAAAACACACACAAAACTTGTGGAACACAGAAAGTGAAAAACAACAACAACAACAACAATAAAAAAGCATTCCAATGTTGTCCTGTTTGGCGCCATCGTCTACACGTTTTGGCCAAGAGGATAACATTATACAGCAGAGCATGCCATCGTCAGCCTTCTCCATGCAGTGTAAGTCAGAGCCAAGCAGAGATCAAAAAACATTTCAGCATCTTGCGATGAGTCATCAATTGTCTAGAAATTTATTTTGCATTATCAGCGCAATGCAATTGAACTTTGTCTCAGTGTGTGTGTGTGTGTGTGTGTGTGTCATCGAATTCATTCAACTTTTGCAAAACGCGCCAAAAGCCAATCAAATCTATGCCAAGCGCTGCTCAGTGTCAATGTCAAAACATTTCCAGGGAAACGCCGCCATTTTTCAGCAACTGTGTGGTCCCCCAAACTGAAATTCACCTTAAACGAGTAAGCGACACAGCAAAAAATGACGAAAACAAATATGAGTAAATAACAATAAAGAGTTAGTGTGAGAGCGAGAGAGAGCGAGAGCGAGAGCGAGAGTCGTGGCATCGAATTTCCTTTCGCTTTGCCTCCTACGCTCAAGCGCTTGGCTCAGCTCTTCGACTCGATCGTCGCTCGATCGCTCCTTTAGCACAGTCGACCACAAGCGAAGCGCTGGCTATGCAGGCGCTGCTTAATCACCTCCCAGCTACAGTCTTGAAAGTAAACACCTATGAGCGACACACACACACACACTCACACGAGGCCAGAAAAAAGGGCTTCAGCTAAAAAATCATTGAATTGTTAGGCAGAATTCGAAATGCTCTTATCAATGCTCTTAGCATTTGAATATTGAAAAGATATTGAATGAAAACTAATTGAATATGAATTAATTGAATTTATTTAATTATTATTATTATTATTATTATTATTATTATTATTTTTATTATTATTATTATTATTATTATTATTATTATTATTATGATTATTATTATAAATACTTAAAGATTCTCAATATTTTTTGGCTAAATGAGTTTAGAAATAAATATTGAAAATGTCGACAGAGAACAATTTGCATTGTTTGCCTTGATAGCATTAGCAATATTATTATTAACACTATTATAAATAGTTATATTATTAGTAAAGGAGTCTAAAAACTCTTGCAGAAAAGCTAGTTGAGAGCGAGTAAAACACTTATTATTATTCATCTCAGTATTAGTATAATTATTATTCAAAATACCTAAAAATGTTTCTGCATCAATTTGAATCAAGAAATTGCCTGTTCAACCATTTTTAATCGAATTGAAGAAAACTTTTATATAATTCTTAGTAATTGTGTTTAAATGCCCATAGTTAATAATAAAAACCAAGTCTTGGCCCAAAAGATTTTTATAAGATCAGAAATGGCTTTTCTGTACGTTTTAAGTTTTAAGAACTTAATGTAAATTTATCTTGTAGTTAATTGCATTATACAGTCTTCTATAGCTAGGGGGTTAAATTTATTATATATGCGTTAAGCTTTTCAGCTGCCTTACTTATTATGACCTATATGAGTTTATGATGTAGTTTAATAATTTGTTAAAATAATTAATAAAAACTAAATAACTTTGACATTTAATCCATAAATAATAAGTTTGAAAAACAGGAATTCAAAAATGTTTATTTAAAACAAAAAACTTTCGTAAATCAGTTCAAAAATCTGATTATTTGAGATTTTTTAATCAAACTTTTTGAATTATATAAATTTATCTCATAGTTATGAAACTCTTTATAAACAATTGTTTATGTAAAATATTACAAATTTACTTATTTTATATTTTTATTAAATATATTAAAGAAATATTTAATAATAAATATATTTAAGAATTATTTAATAATTAATTTTTTCTGATTATTTATTAGACTAAGTGAGGCGAGGGATATGCTGAGCAGAAATAGATACAGTTATTATTAATTATGTTTTCTTTGCAAGGAATATCTCGAATGCTTTTCAAGTGCCGCAGCTCAGGTTGCATTTACCTTTGCTATTTAAACTATTTCTCGCTTTTAGCTGAAGAAAAGTCGTAAAATATTTTTATTTATCGTATGATTTTTGCTGCGACCAATTGCAAACGCATTCGAATTTGATTTGTTGGCAGGCGTTGGCTGCGCATTGCCTTGGCCGAGCGTAAGATGCGATTAGCTGATGTAGGTTGGCAGCGGCAGCGGCAGAGGCAGGTGAGGTGTGGCAGGTAGGCAGCTAACAGCGCAATGGCTGAGCGTCAAGTGCTGGCGCCTCCTACAATGGCAACGTCAACGTCACCACCATTCACAGCACACATACAGCGAACGCACCACACACACCTGTGTGACATGCGCACGCGAACAGGTAGAACGCTACGAACTGTCTCCGTCTCCGTTCCACTCGCTGGAAACGCAGTTAAACCTGTTCGCATTGCTGCCAGCAGCAAATGGCAGCTGTTGGTTCCATTGATGGATTGTGGTTGCGTGGTGGGCATTTCCCATTCTTAAGTTTTCCATTTCGGCTTTCCCGAAAATCAAAACCAATTGACCAAACAGCCAATCCAAGTGTAAACAAAACATAAAACTGTCAGTGGGCGAAGCTCATCAACGCCCCGACTAAAGTGAAGGTGTTAACAAATGCAGCGCAGCTAGAAGAATTCATTTCAAATAGCATCGATTTTATTTTGAAAATGGAAAACGGAAAATGGGAAATGGAAGATGGAAGATGGAAACTGGAAAGCGCGCTACGAAAATGAGCTACAAATTTATGGCGCAATATCATTATAGCCACTGCCCACGTTCCTGTCTCACGACTCACGTCCATGTCTGGGTGCCCGTCTACACACACTCACACCCACACTCACACTCATATTCACATTCACACTCATATTCACATTCACATTTCAAAGCTGTGACAATTAATAAGCAGCGCTAAACATACGGATTAATTGCACATGTTCGCAGTGTAGGGCAAGGGAGAGGGCAAGGGAATCACTGCATAGCGAATAGCTAGAACGAGGGCAGTTTCTTAACTTGTCAGCTATTGCTTTGATTTATTAGCTATCTATATGATATGCCAAGACTTTTCCATTTACTATGATTGATTTCAGTGAAAGTGCTTCAAGAATTTAGAGAGATTTTCATTTTTAAAGGAAATGTGAAAACTCCTGAATGCAAAGGAAATCGCAATCTATTAGATGTTATAATAATATTGATATACCTAAAGATATACATATATACCTAAGTAACTTTCTAGACTAGTTCATTCATAGAAACCCACCTAGCACTTGAGTGCTGAGATGTTTGATATGAATTTTATAGTCTGGAAATTTATACTCCCCTTTTATATAGATATATAACTGGATTCTAGTTGATCTTCCACTAATCATGCTTAACTCTTTTCATATTTTATTATGTATTTTGCATACTGTCACTACACTGAAATAATTTATATAGCAACTTTTATGGCACAATAAAATTCGGATCATAATAGTGGCAAGATCTAAGAAACAACTCTCGCCTGGCCAAACAATAAATTATAATTTATGGGCATTTAAGTAGCGGCCCGTGCGTTGCTTTCCGTGTAAAGTGGGCAGCGTTGTAGGTGGAAGGCGGCTAAAAGCCAACAGACAAGAGCGCAGCTAATCGATCGATCAGGCACAGGTTGCCCCACATAGATAGAGAGCTAGGCACATGGAAGATACGCATACAAAGATACAGATACAAATGTATCTTCTACGCGTCTTTTTTCCGGTTGTTTGTTGTTCGTCTGGGCCGCCTTTTGATGTCACTGGGCAGCTGCGGCCGCGATGTGTATTAATCGCTGCTACATTGAAAACGCTGTTCGCTGCTCGCTACCGCTAGCTGCTTGCAGCTTGCTGCTCGCTACCCTCGCTGCCCGCTCCTCTCTATGCGAAACTCGTTTGCTTTTGGTTTTTTCGGGGCGTGTGTTTGTCGCGTTTCGAAATTGCTCCAAAATGTCATAAATCAAAAATTTTGTTAGCCCAAAACACCAGAGCTAAAAACCTGTCTGTCTCTGTGTTATCACCTACACACAAATTATGTATTTGGTAACGCCCCCTTCCGTCGCCTCACCGCCCCCGCCCCCGCCGACCGCCGACAGCCGCTACCTGGCATTCAGTCTGCCTCGTGCAACAGTAAATCATTGCTGAAAGCTTTGCTAATTTCTTGACGTCCAGCTTTATATTCACACATATGTGATATTAACACGATATTTGTTGTTTCTGGAAATTGTTGCTTGTTAATAATATTATGATTATATTTGTATTTACTTTTAACTTGACAGAATATTTTGACATTTTCGTGTAGTTGTTTCTCTAGTGGCTTAAGCAAGCATTCACCTTGCTTACCTACCTATATAATCTATCGATATATTTGTAATCGATATATTTGTTGCTCATAATAATTATTCGCAGGTTTATTTGACACATAGTTTGAAATTCTGCTTTTAAAATAAGTTTAATTTGATTAGCTGATATAATTGTCTGATCTATTTATCTAATTATCGATCAAATCTAGATTCATTTCATATTTATCGAATGTTATAATAACATTTTCTTCTCATTGCTATTTTTTGCTACTGTGATTTTAGGGCTCATTTGAATCGAATTTTCAACACACTCATATTTATCAATTTATCAATTTATCAATTTATCGATTTATCGATCTATTTATTTATTATCGATTGCTGTTAAGTAAGCTTCTCTATATTTCAAATGGACTACTTAAACAAGTCCTTAAGCCATGTTTGCAATTAACAATCATGTTTATCGATTTATCGACCAAGCCTTAAGTAATAACATATTTACCGATTGCAATTTCAATGCCCTACTTCGCATTTGTGCTTATATATTACTTTTAGCAAATCGACTACTTTAAGCAAACTACTAATTATCGATTTATCCATCCATCTATCGATACACATTTAATTTCCTTGTTATCGATTGTCATTTCTATAGTCTATTTACGTTTATGCTTCTGTATTTTTTTAAGTCGCTCGCTGAGCACATTTTTGCTACAAGCTCATGTCTATCGATTTATCGACTTATCGATTACCTACCTAATTTTCTTATTATCGATTGCCATTCCTATAGCCACTTCACATTTTGTGCTTCTTCATTTACTTTTTGCTATTGCTCGTTTTTTCATTA